TGATGATGTCATCAAGGTGTTCAATAACAGGAAAGTGAGCAAGTGTCGGCTCCAGAGGAAGTGAAGAACTTGAGAAGGCAGTGCCTGTCTGTCTGAGTGAGGACAGAAACACCATCCTGAAGGAGGGCAATGAGACCCTGATAGGTGATGTTGAGCAAATTGATGACTGCTACCTATCATTGTCAAGATGCAGCCAGATAAGAACTATTGCTCTGATGTAACCTGCTGAGACCCAGTAGAGGAATAGGAGGACCCAGTGTTCACCTCTAGGCTCCTGGCAATGAATCCTTTGAGAACAAAATGATCTATACCAGATCCATCAAAAAGAAGTACCTATGCATCAAACATGAAGTAACCTGCTATGAGGAGACCGAGGACCACTGCATTCTGACAGAAAAACTCAACAGTCCTGCTGTTGTCTTCCTGAGTGGCAAGACTTTAAGTAGACGCCTCTAATCCCTACCTGGAGCATCTAGCAGTTACCAGAAACGCTCTTGGGTGTTGAAGATCATCACTTTCCTGACAAATTTAAAAGCGACTGGAGGAATCCCAGCAAAGAACAGGTAGCCCCATCACCGGAATTGTCAAATACCATCACCACCACCACCACCACAACAACAACAACAACATGGATGGCCCTGTTCCCTCCATCCCTAGTAGTTTTGGTTTTCCCAAACTTCTATTGATCTTCTGATTCCTCTTGGGTTTAAGCAGACAATGTCTTCCATCCCAGACATCTAGTTGGGAAGGGATCGTATTTTTATGTCATCCTGATTCCTTATTTATCCCTCACCACCTATCCCTCTCAATCCCATGTTGTAACGTTCCAGGCAAAATAGTGATTCTGCTTGCTTTTTAGCTTTGTGTATAAGTGGAATGTTGTGACCTCCCTGCACCAGCTGGTTACCTTACCCTTTCCCTGATTTTGGCTACACAACAATGAAAAAAAAAATCACCAAGGGAACTTTGGTTTAAAAAATTAAGGTAAACTAAAAAGGATGATTCATAAAACGAGATACAAAACGTAAAAGATAATTCATTTTCACATATTCATATGAGAAGACTGTAAGTATAATAATTAGTTCTCACAAAATAATATCAGCTTAATTGAAATACACTGAGTGGAGAGAAGCTGAGTAAATGCAGTCAGTCTCTGGAACACTGGTATTACTAAAATATGTGGTGTGAGCATCACAAGCAATTTGTTCTGTAAAAGAATACAATAAGCAAGGTATTTGACTCTGTGTGCTGGCCCATGATGAACAAGCCCTGTCATGGAAACTTTAAGAGAAGTTCTTAATTTGGATAGAACTTTCAAATATATTGCTCAGTGGATTTTAATGCTAGCAACTCTCTCACCAGGAAAGTGGAACCTGTTTTTTTTTTAAAAAATCATATTTTGGAATATCATAGCAAAGCTAACACTGGGTGTAAAGTTTACCATCACAACAATTTTTCATAAAAAATCTCAAATCTAAAGTTGTCAATCCACTTCTTTTTGAGTTTTTCAGCCACTTAGAAATAGCAGCTAAGCATGAAGAAAAAAAAATCTCTTAAAAGCATTGACTTTTACAGTTCATCCCAACAAGAAAATTGGCTATTTACTTGTTTTACATTTAATCTCCATGCTAAATCTGAAAGTGCATTCTCAATAACGACTAGAATAAAAGAACACTGGGATAATGACATGACATGATGAAAGCTGGGAAAAGCTCATTTGAGGATATAATCTCTTCCACATACGTAAGTTTTAAGTTAAAATGGCATAGGTTAAAGGTTTCAGAAAATGTTATCAAGAGGAATTGTATGAAATAAGAACTTACCAAGGAGAAAGGAAGCCTTTCTAGACTACAATCCCTATAGGCAAGTGCTTGCTAAGAGAGATTAACTTTTTAGCTTAGTATTTGGTATGATTTTAGCTAACTGATTATAAAATAAAGAAGACGATTCAAATGCATTTAGTTAGTGGCCACCTTCAATTTACTGGCACAACAGAAATACTAGGCATTTATTTTCCCTCTTAAATACATAACTAAATAGCATACTGATGCCTTCCAAACAGTTAAATTTGACAAAGTGAACTTCACTGATGAAGACTTACGGAATTAAATAATTATTTCAAAGAATTCTGAGCATGTATTCTATACATTATCCAGTGTTGATTGTAAATGTTTTCCTGGTCCTCAAGATGGTAGAGCCATTTCTAGGTCCCTGAAGGACTGAATAGGGCTAAATAAAGACCTACTCCCACACTCCATTAGTTCTGATAAAAGTAAACGTGTAAGGCTGTAGGGAAATACATAAAAAACACTTATTCATTAATTTATTCCACCAGTATTATGAATAACAGTGATACATGAGATGAAATTGCCTAGAATTTCAAAATAAAGCAAAGGAGGCAATTGAATGGAACAGAAAGATCAGGTAAGAATTTCTAGAAACTATATCATCTGAAGTATTCAGTTGTTACCTGCCAATGTCTTGCATCTGCAATCATATCCTGAATTTCTACTATCTTATTATGACTCTGTCTTTGCTTAAGTACTTAAACTATTTTTCCACTCATTTATTTTGTGGCTTTTTTTGACTTACAGTTGTTCAGCTTATAGTGCATTATATACTATATGACGTGTCTATACACGTATCACGTGTGGTAATCAGATCACAGCAATTGACATATCCATCACTTCCACCGTTGCCATTTGTTTGTGTGAATAACATCCCAAGCCCTTCTACTAAGTCTATCAAAGCATTTGATTAATTAATTAATGTCAACCACGGTTTCACTTTGGTGTTATAGAACATTAGAGATTATTCTTCGGTCCAATCGTCTCCAGGAACTTATCCCCTTCCCATTTCTTTCCCACACTCTTCCCAGCCTCTGCCAACCAATAGTCTACTTACCTATCTTATCCACTGTTTGTCCAGTGAATTCTTAGTCTGGTACCGTATCCTTGGTGTTATAGACAACGTTGCCGTGAGCATGTGGGTGCAGACACTTCTTTAACGCACCACTGACCTCAGCTCCTTCAGCTATTTACCAAGGATAAGATTTGGGGATGATATGACAGCTCTATGACTATTCCCCCCTGCAATCCCCCCTGCCATACTGGCTTTCATTTCCACCAACAGCCTGCGGTTCTCCTTTCTCTGACTCCTTATTAGAATTTTATGTTACTCTTTTTAATAAAAGAATGTTTAACTGAGGTGAAACAATGTCTCATTGTTGGTTTAACTTGTATATCCAACATACACTAGGATATGCATACTGCTAGGCAGTTTGTGAAATTTACATAATTTTATTTCCTATATGCTAATTTTAATATAATATCCTCATTAAGAGATAACGTCGGTGTGGATACTTGTTAAGGTGGTCTCACAGTAAGCTACTAAGCAGCAAATCCAGCATTTAAACGACCTTCCCCTTACGGCCATATTTTAAATGCACAATATTGCATTACAGGAAATATTTGGTCCCATAAAATTATTATTTTCGCACTGCTAATTACTTCAAGTACTCTCCTTCATACATAGAAGCATGTGGTTATGAATGTTTTCTATCAAAAGTGGACAGAAGTAGCTGGACCTGACAGACACAATTCTGCATCAGTCAGTAACACTGGAAACTTTGCAATGACTTCTATTGATATACCAAAATGTTATCCCTTGCCCTTTTTAAATATCGATACATAGTAGAATATATTTTACTATAGTCAAGAAATGTTTTGACTTGAAATGAAATTGTTTATTTAAGACAAACAACTTTAATGAAGAAACTTCGCTGGAAGCAGGGAACATTACTCGCTTCATGGTGGCTATCACTGTATTAATGCATTTTCTGAGTGGAATTCTATTGAAATCAAGAATATTGCTTGGAAGACATGGGTTCTGAATATGTTTATCATTTATGATTTTAGTGGATATTAGCAGCAAATTTAAGTCAACGAATATGAATACCCTCCTCCATCTTTGAGCCATTCTCGAATAGGTTTTTCTATGTGGCTTCTGATTTTCATTTATCTATTTCTGTGGCTACTATTTCCCCAGTGGGTATGCTAATGCCTCCAATTAACTTAATTCAAATCTTGTAGCTGAAGAATTAATCTGTTATCCAAAGATTTCTTTGTATGTTTGTGCCAGTCTCTTTTGTGTTGACATTGAATTTCAGCAATCAAAAAAAAAAAGTCTCATCTTGTGTGTTTTTATTTAGATTTCTTGTGAATATCTCTCTGTATTAAGCTGTAAGAACTGAAAAAAATCACCAGGTGTGGTGCTACATGCCTTTAATTCCAGCACTGGGGAGGCAGAGACTCATAGATCTCTGTGACTATTTAGTGAGTTCCAGGCCAGCCATAAATATATACATTAAGTCTCAAAAATTTAAAAACTAACTTCAGGGTAATGTAAAGTGCACTGAAACATCTCACATGTTTGTGAGAAATAAAGATAAACAACGGCAACTGTTTCCTCTCACTTAGGATAGAGACAGTGTACCCTTGAGTTGATCATAGGTACTAAGGCCTGAACCTAGGGCCTTATCCACTTTAGGGACACAGTCTAGTGCTCCATTACATCCCCAGCCCTGGTCAATCATTTAATCACATACATCTTGATTGCTGGAATAAAGCTCCATAAATCCCTCCTATGAAAGGAGTTATTTCATAACTACACTAAGCCCTATACCAAGCAAGTGCTGTTGGTTTGGAAAGAAAAGACGCCCAGAAAATATATAAGCATAGAAGCAGCATAAGGAAAAGATGGGGCTGAGCCCGGTGCTCCCGTGAATGAAAGAGCTATGTCTTCAGGTGTGTGAGCTGCAAGAGCAAAGCCCAGATCTGCTCTAGTCTCCACCTCTATTCTCTTTTCCAACTAGGCAAATGCCAAGAGGAGCATTGGCCCACACACAAAACGGGCATTGTCAGGAGGCACCAAATGTAATCACGTGAGTTCATCCACTGCAGTTCTCCAGGACTGGATTGACTTAGCCAAACCTCAACTGATTCACCGAGACTCAAACAACTTTATTTATTTAGTATTATTATATCTTTATTTATGGAACTAGAAGACAGGAAGATGACCAAGAATTCAGGCATGGAAGCGATCTGAATGAACATAAAGTTCTATCTGGTCGTAATGAAACTGGAGGATACTGAAGGGAATCAATTTTTTTTTTTTTTGTCTGAAGAACGATGAAGTAGCTTTCTCCAGGGACATGTCATGAGTCCAGGGAGCGTTGCTTTAAACTTGGAAATTTCTGCGTGGTATCAGCACACTGGCAGTTCAACAACCTCTGATGTGAAGCGAATGATCATGCCAGCCTTCCTGTTCCAAGCTCTGAAAATAATAGCATAAGAAGAACAAGAGAATAGACAATCAGTACAGAAAAGGAAAATATTATTAATAAAAACAAGGTTGCATAAGCAAAAATTATTTTTAAAGTATAGTAATGGAACATATTTATTTCTCATGAAACTTTGTTGTTACGTTATGTTTTAACAATCACCAGAAACATTAGATATAAGGGGTAAGATTTCTTATGTTTAATTACACACAAGGGGTTGGCCATATTTGTTCTGGGGTTTTATCTATTTTTGCACGTTTTAATGGATTTTCCTCATTTCTTATCAATTAAATGATTTCTATGAATGGAACAGTATTTATCAAACATTATTTAGCAAAATACCATAAAGAAAGAGTGAGAGAATGATTCTTGGGGAGATGCGTTACAGGTCCTAAAAATTCAACTGTTCTACTGTAAATGATTGAGTGATAGCAAACCAAACTCATCCGCTGGCATATGGTATCATATGACTCCCCACACACACACCATTTGTGATCATTAGAAACAAACTGAACCATATTGATAGAGAGAAATCAGAAGAAATAAAAATGAAAAAATATATTCCAAAAGAAAAAATCTTAAGAAATATTATAAGTGAGAAGTAATTACTATCTGGTAGAAAATTGAGGGAAAGACAAGAAATAAAAACTTATTTGCACATCCACTACTACCTATAGATTGGAATGCCAGTCCAAATGATACACATTAAGACAATTAGTGGGTTTAAAAAAAAAACACCAAAACTTAGTAGTGTCTGAATAAAAAGGCAAACAATAAACCATTATTAGTTTCGTAGAACTCATAAAATAACAATAAACTTCCAGAAATAATCTCAAGCTTGACTATAATAATGCATGAAGCGTTCATCTCAAAGATCATCTAATGAGCCTATGTAGTCAAATTCTGAGAGAAAGGATCTGACCTCTCAGTCCTAACAAAGTATTACAAGAAGATCTTATTTCAGTTATGTAACTGAAATTATAACTGTGGCTTTCTAAAACCAGAATATCAAAGAGGAAACTGACGTACCCACCAAACTTATTGTCTTTCTTGAAGTTACTGACAAATGCTGCATCTATAGATCATTATTTCATTGTTTTTCTATAATAATTATATGAATTAATAAACAAAGATGAAGGCGCATGCCAGTTCGTTTTCATTTTTCAATATGCAGAAAAATAGCTTAGACCCTGAACATGAGCTGTCTTGTCTTATAGGCTGCACCTGTCCTCCGGCTACACATCTGTGGAGCACAGTACCAGCCAACTGTTAATCAAGGATCACTTCCCTTCAGAGTGACTGATGAACCACTGCTACAGCAGTTTACAAAAATAACTTTTAGAAAAGGTGATGCAAGAGTTTCAGACACATCTCTCCAGTCCCAAACGTTCCATGCTTGAAAGTTCGGGTTTCATTAATCAGTAAATAGATTTTTAAAAAAAAAAAATGGCCCGTTAAATTTTAGAAATAAAATACCATTGGCGATATTTTCATTTTGATTACAAACAGTGATAATGTCCAAGATTGGCTTTTGAAACTGCTAACGAGCCCTGGCAATGTGGAAAGGATATAGTTTAGGTAGAGGCAAGGAAGTATGCTTAAAGAGGAGGAGCACTGAAGGGTGCCGGGGGGAAACTCTTTTCAGAAAGAGTGTAATTAGTGCCTGACAAAAACACTTGGCGGATAAGATTTCTGAAGAAGAAAGGTTAAGACAGACAAATATTTTATGACAAAGCTGTTTAATTTTTCCCCTTTGATTTTTTTAATATCCTCAACATTACACTGAAACTCCATACATAAATAATGTTTGTGGAATACTTGATGCAAATCTCCCAGACAATTGGGTGTTTGAATTGCCAGACACGGAGTGCAGAATGTGCTAAAGCATCGTCTTCCATTCTTGCTGTACATCCATTCTCTTTGTTGATTTATGTAATGTAGCTAATAATATGCAACCTACCCTCATTTTAAACAAACAAGTGAACTTTTTAAAAAGCTTCCTATAAGTTGCTAAGCAACTCCAAAGACATATTTTATTAACTTAACAAATAGCATCCAGTTGACAAGTCCCTAAAGATGGCTTCTACCTCTGCTGCTACAAAAAGTAGAAAATCCAAGCAGATGCCCTTCTGATTTCCCTCCTGTAAGGCCTCCGGGCAAGTCAAAGATGTTGCCTTCTTCAAATATATTTTTCTTAGGATGCAAAATAATATTTTTTAGTTGAAAATGTGATTATAAAAAAAAAAGATAGACCCAAGGACTCATAGTGGAGCTGTCCAAAATATTCTCAGCCCTGAAGATTGGTTAACCCAGGTTCCACTGACAGGTTGGATAGGAGAATTTGAGTGTGTAGAGGACTAAACTGTGAATCGTCAGGTGCTTCTTAACATCCTACAAATCTACCTACAAGACCAATAGTGCCCCCCAGTAGTTGCTATAATTAAAACTTTCTGTAGCTGAAAACAAGATATCTAGAGAAGGTGGATACAGTAGAAGGAAAACTTGTTCATAGGTGAAAATCGCTTCCAATGAATATGGACATGAGTGTTAACTATAAAACACATCTTGAGCTTCCCTGGCGATGGCGAAGTCTCAGGATTTATCACCACTCGTCAGTACCTACCATCTCCATCACCAATGGTAACGAAAAACATGTGGGTGTGCAAGGGGGATTCTAGGGCACTGCTGCTTTCTGTGCGTTCACGACTTATGCTGGAGTCTAACATTTCAGCGTAATTTCCACTGTTCACAAACTGGAATAAGAGGCTCAGTGGTTATTGTAATGAAAATCCTTTTCTAGAAACACCATGTTCCAGAATTTCAGCAAAATCTTTTCTTACTCTCAATTTTTCTCTGCATTCAGTATTTAGCAAGAATGATTTAAAAGTACATAGTAAGGGGCCGAAGAAGTGGCTCAGGAGTAAAGAGCAGATGATGCTCATTTAGAGAACCCATGTATGATTCTCAGCACCCTTGTTTGCAGCTAGCTCACAGATGCTTGTAATCCCAACTTCAGAGGGACTGATGCACACACCCACACACATACACAGAATTATTGAAGGTTTATGAAAATGTATCTGTTGTAATACTATTGTAACAGTCTTTGATAGGGCATTTTGATAACCTCCATTTAATAACTAACGTCTTTGTCCCTCACACACAAACAGCTTGTATGCTTCCAATTTCACGTGTGTATGAAAGACAAATTAGGAAAGTTTTCCTAATTAATCCTTCCTTTACTTACAATATTGTATTTCTGTGAAAAGAACTGCATGACTGCAGATTAACGTGAGGGAATCATTTTCTGACGGTCTTCAATATGCCAGGCACTGAACAATGCCTCGTAGCTGTTTCTATCCATTTATATTTCATTATTTATGCCCAACTAGATTGTAAGTTCCCAGAGGATAGGAACAGGTTTTATCTGTATCCCTCTGGCACCTTTTAATAACGATGCTAATAAATATGCTTTACATTTGATTAGCAATTATAACCTTTCAAATTAGTTTCGTGGTTATTAGCTCACTGGTTATATAATTTCACTATTTTACAATCAATGAGAGTGGGACACAAAATTCTCTAGGGAATAGTTCGTGGATTACACAAATGGTACTTCGTAGACTGTGTATTCAATATGCAGAGACTCCCTAAATCCAGTCTTACAAGTCCAAAATGGCTTGCCTGATTGCAAAGTCTGTTTACGATGTTAAGGAATAAAAGTTGTTGTAAAAAATAAGAATTGTTGAATGTTGCAGAAGACACCACAAAGAAGTGAATCAGTTTTTAAAAAGTGTTCAATTATACTAAAGCAGCAGGAGAATGTGAGAAATCGTGTAGTTTCTACAAGAGATTATCTTCATTTTGTTAGGTCTTCGCCTCTTATTAAAGAAGTAAAGTTGTTTTTAAAAGACAATAATACGTAAAGGAAAAGCCTTAAGATTAACTTCTACATTCTGAAAGTCACAGCATTTTACCTCATATGTATGAATAAGACCACAAAAAATATTTTCTACAACTTTCCCCCACCCCAGTTGGGGGGGGGGTGCATAGCCATATAAATAACACCAATGCAAAACATACGTTGTTTATCTGCCTTTGGGCCGAGCCGAAGGAGAAAAAAAAAATACCCTATGCCGAAGTCAGCTGATCCGAGGGCATCCAAGCCTAAGGAAGTCATCCCTTATCCAGCCACAGTGCCATTTACTGCGCGCGACTGTTAAGTGCAGACTCTGGTCTAGGCCCTGGAGGGAAAGGTCCAAACCAAAGGCTGCTGGTGTGAATCTGGGGCAGCGGGGCAAAGGGGGGCAAGTGAAAAGACCTGAAAAGCCAGAAATGATTTCCTTGTCATTGGGCCTTTTCTTTCTGCCTTTAGCTCCTTCCGATCCCAAATTTAAGAAGTAAAGGCATTTAAATAGAAATGAAAATAAGAGGAAAGGTTAAGTAAGACGTCACCAGCCAGGAGAAAGATCACCCGGCGTCCGAACCATCCTTCAACCACGTGACTGGCGTGAGAGGGAGCCGCGAGCGACCTACACACCCCTCACCCGGTCTGGGAGGGCGGTCATCGAGTGTTGAGTGGGGGCCTCGGAGCAGGTGGGGAGCGACTAGGTGTCCGGGTAAAGGGCGGGAGGTCTCCAGGTCCCGGGCGCCCCGGCGGGCTGGTGCCCGGCCGCCTCTTCCAGCTTTTCCAGCCTCTGCTGTGGGCCGAGCCCCGGGCGAGCGGCCGGAGCCTCATCCAGGCACTTCCTCAGCAGAAAGCGCTGGCGAGCTGCGTCCGAGCTCGGGTGCCGGGAGTGGAGGATGGTTGGTCCCGGCCCGAGGGACCTGGGACAGCCCAGCGCCAGCCGGCCTGGGAGACCACCCGGCGGTGGAGAGGCAAGCGCAGAGGACCGACCGGGCAGTGAAGTCCGCGCTCCCCTTCCCGGAGCAGCACAGGCACAACAGCGCGCGGGCTCGAGCCGCACTACGCTTTTAAATCTGAACCGGGAAGAATAAGATAAGTTCCAATGTTTTGTTTAGTCAGAGAGTGAAAACGGAGAAACTCTAGTCTGTTGGCATCTTCCCTCGCCCCTCCCTACCCCTACCTTCTTCTGAAAAGCCTGCCCCAGAGCAGGAGGGGATGGATGAAGCACCCCTCTTCCTCTTTACTATCCTCTCTTTCCTGCCCGCGATCTCCATACACCCTTCACTAGCCCAGCTCAGGAGTTTAGCACAAAGTCTGCCAGGGACACCTCAAGAGCCCCTACATTCAGCACCATTAGAACACTGGCTTTTAAAAGATGGAAGTAGAAAGTAAATACATGCACGCACACACATACATACATACATATATTATAAACTGTATATATACATATACTTTATAACTATACTGCTAGCCGCAGTATAATGAAAATTCACCAGTCCTTGTTTGTTCCCAAAGGCCTGGGGAGGGGTGTTTCATTTTGATGCTGTTGGTCAGGACATCCCTACCTCATTGTTTATAAGATCTTTTAAGCTCTGGTAGGTCTAAAGCAAGCAGGGATTCCAGACAAAGTCGTCCCTTCTTACCCTTTACCTCCATGCTATAGAAACTTTACTTTCATCCCCAAAGGCCTGATGACCCAGAGGAACTCTACACCAGGGGCCTGACTATGGACCTGCTCCCTTCCATCCTGGACCTGGAAAGCAGTCCTGGACCAGAGGCTGAACTGAGTACCCGAACTACGCTTGGTTGTTGACAAAGGGAGGGGGGAATGGAGGAGGCAAATGGAAAGGAAAAACGGAGGAGGGGGGGAGAATGTGTTCATTTACACATTTCCTGTGCAGAACAAAAAAGTCCCACCATCAGCAAAAGAAGTCTTTTCCTCCAAAATAGCAGCCAAAGAGAGAGAATTAGAATATGCATAAAATTCCTTCATTTTCATTTGCACAGAGCATGATTTCCGGCACATTCGTATGTAAGCTGCACGATTAATACCCACGCCTAAACAGTATTTCACTTAGCATCTTTCCAAAACTCACCTAAAGAAAATTACTGTCTTCCACTACCCTACTTTGGGAGCCACCCTTTTCCTAGTCTGTCTGCCAATGAGAATTCCATTGATAGGGTTCTAAGTTGGGTTTTCCTGGCCATCCTTTTGTCTTTAACTGCACTGGTACACCGAACTACACTTCACTGAAAGCTAGCCGGCTGTGAAGCCACGATTGCAAGTCACAGCTTAATAGAAAGTATGTTTTAGAAATATGCACAAAAGACAATAAACATGTGAGGATAGATAGATGCTTGCACATACTCTTTCCTATTCTACTCTAATTAGCAGTAACTAAGATGTTTGCACATAAACACCCCTGAGAATCAGTCATCTTCAAGAGTGAAGGAGAATTGTACAACCTTACTCAGTGTTCTTCACAAATATTCAGCCTATGAGTCCACTAAATCCCCACAGCATATTTCCCTTTGCCACTAGTTCAAGCGATCTTGTCGCAATCTTCCTTGAAAAATTCTGTGTTAGAAAAAAAATGTTAGCATCATTTGAAATAATCCATTCCTTTTGACGTGGCCTTACTTCTCCTTGTGAAAACATACATTTCTTTCATTTAATAGACTTGCTTAATGGATGAGATTTGTGTGTATTGGCTTAAAGAGTTCCCAGAAAACTCAACTCTAATTTCTTACTCCTTCATATCCCAATATGGAAAGAAAATCTATATTTGCTCACAATATAAAGAGGCATCTTCAATGATTTTCTCCAGTATCTGCAGATTTCAAGTAAATCTCAATTACTGGTACTGAAAAGTAATGCTAATATTTGTTTGACTTTTAGTTTTTGTAGAATAAGCAATTTCGATACATTTGATTTGACATATATGTTGTGCATGAATAAGCATATAAATATATGGTTTCTGTTGGCTAAAGAGTTATTCAAATATTAGGCTATAGAAAATTATTAATTTAGTGAAATGGGTTTTTAAACTTTACAGCCACAAGAGTTTCTTGCACAGCTGTTACCACTGTGAAATAATTGCTCTCAGTTTTTATTTACATCAAATATCATCACTCCAAAATCATTAAATGTAGTTTCCCTTGGTTGTTCATGTCTGTGTCGGTTCCAGAGGTCTCAGTCATTTAAAATAAAACACAAAGTATTAGAAAATAAGTTCCCCCCAAGCCATATTTAGGGAATGGGTGTAACAGAATTGTGAGTCATGTTTTCTAGTGATGCTGACTTCCCTTAATTTTCTTACTGAAGCAAATGCTAGTGTGTTTCTTAACAAAACAAACAATTCAAACAAGCATCGTGATGACAGAGTATCATCCTTAAAACATTATTTTGCTTATAATTAAGTTAAATTATGGGATATTCTTGTTATCAGTTTGTCTTGCAGGAGGGCATTTACAGAAGAATTGGGGCGAACTTAGTGGGAAATCTTAAACTCCAAGCATGGAGAAATTCTGGGTGGGGTGCCCATACCTACTTACAACCAGAGCTGCCTCCCACTGCAAACTTACCAACATGGGTGAGAAGTGAGCACCACTTCAGTGAATATAGTCTCTGGAAGCTTCTCTGTCCTTGCTGATCTTTAATGAAACAATGTTCTCACAAACTGGAAGTGTTTCCATTACAAAGAAAAGGCTAAAAGGAAATTTAAATAAAAAAGTGCTCAGCTTCCTTTCCATAAAAAGCAAAGATTACAAAGAACTGAAGCAATGTAAGTGTTGCCTTCCCTCCCCCCAACAGACACCTTGCTTCCTTAATGTTTCTGTTGTGGATTGGATTGAATTTGAGTTTGAAGGAAATAGCTCACCAAAAAAGTTTCCAGAGCACAAACCAGCTCCTGATATTTATGTCTTTGATTTTGACCTTTTCAAAAGTCTAGGTTCTGCTTTCTCACACTTCTCCAGGGGCCACATCAGTGCAGTAAGGTTACACTCCCCTTATCCCCCTCCACCAACCAACCCGCTAGTCTCTATTCTTCTCTCTCACAACTGCCCCTCCTTTCCTAACCAGCTTCTCTATCTTCCTCACAAAAAGAGGCAATTATAAACTACCTGCTTCAGGGCTAACACCTGCCTGATAAGCAACAAATCTAACTCCATGTCCTTCCATTCTTCTCCTTTTATTTCATTTCCCTTTTGGTGGGGGTGAAACCAGGGCCAAGTGTTCAGGAGACAAGGAGATTGTTGGACTGAGAAGATGGTAGACTATTACAGGTGGAGATCTACTTCCCATCTAGGCCCAGGACCTACTAACCATTTGCTCACCTAGCATGTATACACCTCATAGAAGCATCTCTTGTGCCTGAAGATATGGGCTTTGCTTTCCTAGCAAGATGGCCACCACTGAAGTCTACCATCACTAAATCTACTCCCTCAGCACATCTGCCTGTTCCTAGATTCACTGGAAACTCAAAACCCTGCCATTCTCAACTTCCTTGGCTTAAAAAAAAAAAAATGGCGACTTGCCTCCTAACCAGAAGCAATCTAGGCAGCAGGTCCTCCAGCTCTCTACATAAGAACCCTTCACATGTCTACTTCTGTTCTCATTTCCCTCCTGAGCCGACTGCTTTAAGAATGATATCCTCAGGGGGACATGATGAAGGATGAATACAAAAGTGCTTGATGATTACTGTAGATGAAGGGAGTCTTCCTTGAGAAAGCTGACAGGAATCATTCAATTAACCAGTAAAACATGAAATTGGAGGAACGTCCAACTGCAGCCATGAAACACAAACTGTAGGCTAAAATAGGTTCTGTTTTCTTCCTGTTGACCTTAAACTTATTTTGAAGTTCATTCTGTGACAGTTACTTACATTGTTCTTATTAATAGTTTATTTAGCATTATTGTTGCAGGTTTTGTTGTTTTGTTGTTGTTCTAGCTATTAGATTATTCACCAGAAGTTTAGGAAGAATAGTTAAATTAATTAGCTTATTGGTAATTTAAAGCTGAAAACTAGTAATTAAGCCAAAAACTATAAATGATCAGAGATGATTCATACCGATGTAGGATTTGGAAGGAAGACAATCTAAATTTTGGGCACTAAATTTTGCAGCTGTGAAATAAGTAGGACTTGGGAATCAAGAATATGATAACGGACTGATACTTTTCAGTCACCAAACCACTCTCCCCCAGATTCATCTCTGACCTGTTTGTTAAGATTAAAAAATAAATTCGAGCAAAAAAAAATCCCATGAGTGATCCTCAGGTCATCAGCTTTTTCACATTTATTCTCTGTACCCAGGACCATCTCTCCCTTCCAAATCAGCCCTTTACATCTCTTTGCTCTTACTTTGAGTCTCTATGTCAAGACAGAAGACAAGGAGATAACTTCATCCCTTTCAGGCACACTCTAGAACATAAGTTTAGCATGGCAATTCTCTCTACAACAAGCTCTTGCTCTTTCAAATATAATTAATGTTTTGATAGTATAGTTCTTTAACCACATATATACACATAAAACCAGATGCACCCTCCAGCCTTGCTGCTTGTTCAACTCAAACAAAAATGGGTGCATTCTTTCAGTGGCTCCTAAAATTCTTTCAGTCAATCATTACAGAAAGAAGATAACTACAGTCCAAATATTGTCAATTTTTGTTAAATTTCACTTAAAACCAAAGGATATTCTGGATTGGTAATCTGGTACAGAACTTTACTACATACTAGGCAAAATCGCCAAACCCTTGTTTATCTTTTGAAAAATTAATAAAGGGGTTAGAATTTCAATATCTTGATATTATACAGGTGAGGCTAAATTGACACATATGTGTAAAAACTAGTAACTATGACAACTAAAGTATAGTGACTTAGCTAAGCATTGCTTACTTTGTCAAATACCTCAGCTTTGTGTTTGGGTCAATTAGTTCACACAGTTGCTATTAGTTATAAATAAACATATGTGACATAGATGGTCAGAAAAATAGGCATGTAGATATGTTTCTAACAACATAGGGGTTAAGTGAGCAAATCTGAGCTTCCATATTTATGTGTTCGTAGTTCAATCGGTATAGAAAGATGAAATGTTAAGAACTGATAGCTATACAGACCGTGGGCTATGACATGCTTGCCATCTTCAATAAAGAAATGCATAACACTGAATCCAACACACATAACAAACTTCATTTCCCTACAACATTATGGAACAGAGAAATTAGCTATGATATCTGAATATATCTCAAGTCCAGGCAAGGCAAAGAGACATCTTCTACATTTCTCTCCTCTGCTAACTTTTTAGAAGGAATGTGCCAAAGATTCTGCTTTTCATAAACATCCTGAAGATTACTTTCTTCCCTTATTTAATATTTCAAATTACGAAAGAAGATAGGAGGAACAAGGGAGTCCATGAAGGTGATTTTCAGTGGATTTTTTCAAGAATGGCAGAAACAAAACTGCTTTCGACTGGAGTGTGATTCCTAAGAAGCCCTGATCTTTGTCGCTGTTTTAGAAAGGACCCATTGGCATTCTTTTATTACTTTCCCTTGAACAGAGATGTGGGATTGACCCTCCTTCCCACTGATTAGCATGCAGACATTAAATATTAGTTAATTTTCCACCAGAAAAGCCCTCACAGGTGTACAGACTCCGTATCAGGATGGGAATAAACTCCCATCTCAGTCATTTGGGCATAAGCAAGTGAAGGAATAGTTTCTACACTAGTGATCACCAAGGGTATGTGAAATATGATGCACACGTTCTCCACCAGAATTCCTGATGTGTCCTTATTTTTCTCCTTGTATCTCCTTTATTTTATTTTATTTTTTCAGTTCGAAATGACTATGAGTTTCCAATGAGGTTTTGTTTGGGTCTAGTTAATATTAAAGATCACACACGGTTTAAAAATATTGTTATTTTTCTTTAATGGGGAAAATTGGACTCCTGCGTGTCAGATCTGTGGATTTCCGAAAGGCAGTGGGAATGGTACTGACATCACTTTGCACTTTAACAATCCGATTTGGTCAGAGTACAAGTTGTTTGTTTAACCCGACAACTCGGTGCACCCCGTCGCACACTTTGCACACTCATTAAAACGATTATTCACGACCTGTCGAGTGTTTTCGGGTTCATTCACAGGAAAGGCTTGCATCCAGAGAGCAATTCAAGTCAACACTGTCCACTACACCACGCACGTGAGGACTAGCTGGTGCATGCGTGAAAGGCTAGGGGAGGGGTTGGAGAGTGAGTGTCTTGGCTGGGAAGTCCCGTCAACGCGAGATACCAAGGAATCTCAACCGCCTTAGAATGCTTAGAGCTAGCTCTTGGTTCCACCACACAGCCAAGTCACTACCTAGTTTCAAAGACTTCAAAAAGAAAAGGAAAAAAGAAACAAATGAAACAAATAAAGGTAGACCTCCCTGACTCCTTTTCTTTTTCAACCTTCTGCATACTTTAGATCCTAGGGTTGCTGTGGCCCCTCTTCTCACCACCGACAACTACTGAGAAAGGGGGGATTCCCTTTCCTTCCACCTCCCAGGTCCCTTTGACCTCAGGTGGAAAAATTGCAATATATTTGTTTTCTGTGTACCTTGCATTCAGTAGAAGGAATGAATAAGAAAATAAGATCCTTTTGGTAGTTGTAGTCCCAATTGTTAAAGAGGAAGGACTAGTCCTCCATACTGAGAACTTTTTTTTTTTCAGATTAAATACTAAATACCACTCAACAAGGTAGGCCACTTTTGTTTTTGTTTTTCAATTTTCAAGTAAGGTTTCAATCTTTTGGAACGACAGCAGAGGACCAAGACGGATGTATCTCAAGCCCTATGCTTGCCTTGTACTTAAAAGGAGCACACTGACAAAGGCTTTTCCATTTTGTTCTGCGATGAATCCTGGTACCTCCTATCCGTGTGCTGTATTATTGCAAGAGGCATGACTATCTCCAAAAGCTGTAATAACACATGCACACCAATAGGATATGTGTGTACAAGTATGTAATATATAAAAAGCCACAATAATTTCTTCTGCATAAGGACCCCTGCCATATATAAGAGCTTGCACTTCCTTTACAATAGGTGTCCAATATCTACATTTAAATGATTCCTCCTTGGTATTTCATACAAAGCACTGCCAACACCTCATGTCTAGTTTATTTTCATGAGGCTAATCTATCCATGCCTATTGAAAATCATATCTTATTCGGGAGTTTCACTCTATTAAACCTAAGATCATGAAACCATGTATCTACCTTATCGAAACACGTCGATACAATGTATGAGGAAAGGACTGGAGCTTTCAAACAGCATGAGGTTTTAAGCAGAAGCTGGCTTCTAATTGCTAACAGGCAAGTATGAATAAACACTTTTATAAACTGGTCTCACTCCCAGAATTTAAGTGCATCTATAAGGTGTACTTAAAATGAACCGGCTATGTGTGTTTCACTTCCTGTGATTAAAGCTTTCGTTAAAAGCAATGTGTGATAAAAATAAAGCAGGGCACTCTGAGATATGGAAGCAAATAGCTGAGACCTCTGCATAAATAAACACAAATCAATGTAGGAATACATAACACTATTGATACAGAAACGATCGATTTTAGCCTTCCAACCTGCAGTCAGAGTTTGCCATGTTTAATTAACAGTATTTATTTTCAGAAAAATAGAGATAATAAAGAAACAAGCAATACTGGCTATCAATTATATCTGATTCTACTTAATTGTTCCCAGAACATTTTTGATGAGGTCGGCAGAATACTCTTTTTTTTTCCTAAGAAAGCTTTGCCAACCTTTAAAAGCACATTATTAATTATAGAAATTATCAAAGTATTAAATAATAAAATTACCACCTTATTCTTGCTCTGAATTTCTCAACCTTCATGCCAGTCTCTAATTATTCATTCAGAACATTTTAATAGGACAAACATAACAGTACTTCTTATTTTCAAGTTTTCTCAAATGCTTGAATACTATTGGGTTTAAAGATTCCTTAGCTACCTCTTATAGTAAACAAGAAAGCTGTTGATCTCCCAATATGCCATGAAAGCCTTCTCTCCTGACCATACATAAGCTTTATCAAAGAAAAAAAAAAAGATGGGGAGGGAATCTGCACTATTTCAAGACTGTTTCTTACCATGAATGTAAAATGAACATATGTCAGACTCAAAGAAAAAAGCAATATTTTAGATTCCTAGAATTTACATCTAAAACAATGTTGCAGGTTTTCCTACAGTCAATTTTTCTTTTGTGAGACATGATTAGCCGCCAGGGTGTGTGATCTCTTTCAGACTTGGCCTCTGGACAGTCATGGGAATTGTGTTTGTATTTTTCATCTACAGAAATACTCATTCACATTCATGCTTGAGTCTAGGTTTCTCAAGCACCAGTTCTAAAAAAAAATCCAATTTATAAAGCCCAATTATTTTGGGAAAAATTTCATCCCTAACATCGCTGCACATAAGCCTCGAGTCTGACTGTTTTTACAATAGTGTATATTCAAGAATTTTCCTTGACTCCTGTCAAACCTACCTAGGGCCAAGAATTCAGGGGCAACCAGACCCAAAAGGAAAATATCATCAGTTATTGTTTAGGGCTAATTTAACAGATAATTTAACTTCAAACAACAATGATTAGGTCATTAAATTTCAGAGTCATGAGAAAATGAAAGAACCCACCGAGACACAATTCTCTCTCTAACCCCATTACAGTTTCCAGTCTTCCTCTTCAATCAAAGGAATTAAACAAACAAACAAATAAACAAAATCCGCCTATGCCGGGAGACACCACGCTCCTTAAGGCGCACAGAGACAGAAGGAATAAGAGGAGGCGAAGAGGAAGAAAGAAAACAGAAGGTGGCTATTTCAACTCCGGGATGCTAACAATATAGGAAAACTCAACTCAAGCCGAAAATGAATATCCAAACGTGTAGTTATTGATCAGGCTCTTTCATACCCACCCAAAGCGACAAATCTCGCCTAGAGCTATTTGTTCTTTCCTCCTGTGCGGCTTTTCCGCGATACCAAATTCAGTTAAATGCTGAGGGGCCCATGAGAAAGGTGTGGGACATCTCTGCTGACAGCTTCACATACAGAATTCTGAATTATTTCTGAAGATCTTAAGTAATTCCTCGGATCTCAGTCTTTGGATTTCTGCCTATTTTAAGTTTTGCTATAGGGCTAGGATGTAGCGGTGTGCAGGCTTAACCAGGAAGCCTGACTGCTGGAAGAGGGAGATGGGAGGTGCACAGGTGGGAGCTCCCCTCTGTCTCTCTCCTCATCTTTTCTGTCTAGTTCTTCCGAAAGGAAGATTAATTCCTAGCAAACCTCCGTGTTTCTGCGGCAATCTGCTCCCCAGCCCTCTTTCTCTCCCCAGCTCCAGGCTGTTCCTCTCCTTCAGGAAATTCCTATCCGGAGGCTCTTTCCAAAACATCCGAGGAGTGGGCAGAAACGGGGAACCAGACAGAAGGGATGGATAGGGTGCTATTGTAAAATCAGTTTTACCACCCACCGGGTGAGTCCTGAGATCTGAAACTGCACCTGGCAAACAAAGACTAACAACTTCTAGGGAGAGGTGAGGTGGAGCGATCAAAGAAGTCTAAGAAGAAAGGGAAAGGTTTGGATCACACGCGGCCTCAGCTCCGGAGGCCGGTTCCCCACGCGGCGACCGTTTCCTGGGCTAGAGCGCCCTCGCGTTGAAGCTTGCCGGCAGCGCGGCTCGGCTCCCTACGCAGGGAGGCAGGCGGTGGTGACCTGAGTGGGTGTCCACACCCATAAGCCCACCGCCGTGCGGCCCCAGATAGCTCTGCGGTACCGGTCCACGCTCTGCTGTTAGTCCCAAACCCGAGACCACAACGCCGGTAGACCCCGGCCTCTCTGCTCAGAGTCCAGCCCGGGCTCCCCCTCCAAAGTCAGCCCGAGCCGGGAGACGCAGGGCAGGACATCCCGACACCGCAAGGCGGGCCTCTCGGGGGGAGTTTCGGAAGAAGCCAGCCTGAGGCTGGCGTGCTCACAGCCACCCTGGGACAGCCAGGCTCTGGAGCATACAGCGCCGGCTCCTAAGTGTGTATTAAAAATCAATTATTTGCCTGAGATTTCCAAAGCCGGGAACTGAGGTATTCCCAGTAGGGACGAAGTCAAGCCCAGAACGGTGCTCATTTCCCTAGTTTTTCCAAGAGACCAAGAAGGCTCCTTCTCTTAACCAGCGGGCGCTGAACTCGACCTGAAGCAGATCCTCTTAATCTTGCAGAGACCCTGGCTTGACCCAGGCCAAGGAGCTGGTGAGAGAGCCCGCGTGGTGTTGGCAATGGCAGTGTGAAAGTAGGAGCAAGAACGGCATCACACACATACACACACACACACACACACACACACACAGACACACAGAGAGAGAGAGAGAGAGAGAGAGAGAGAGAGAGAGAGAGGAAGAAGAAGAGGAGGAGGAGGAGGAGGAGGAGGAGGAGGAGGAGGAGGAGGAGAGGTTTTTGATTATAAAGAAAGTTTCATCTTGTTGCCGAGGGTAAAATATCCATATTAAATTCCCTCATTCTCTGAAGCAACCATGAAATTCAGAATTCCTATTTCCATTAAAAGACTACTCTTCTTTTTCTGAACCTGTTACATTCTCCCATTGTCCATTACATATAAATTTGCCATCCTTTCTTCCTCCTTCGAAATATCTAAATCCTTTTTACTTAGGCATCCACCGTGATTTCTGCCCACGTGGACAAATCATGCATTCTTCCACCTATGACTGTGGGAATCCACTCACTAGGAACAATTTCAGGGAAAAAAAAAAGAGTAACACTTAAGCCTACAAGAGTCTTGATCTAAGGGTCCATCCACAGCAGCCTGTGGGACACACTAATCACCCACCACCACCATGTGAGGCAAAGAGGACTTTCACTTACCGATCCCCGGGGCGAGAGTGTTCACAGTTCTCCAGTCTTTTGCCTTGGCAGCTTTCCGACAACATCAAGCAGAACCTTGGGTTGGGGGTGGGGGCACCAAATCGGGAGGGAGGAAGACAAAACATAACACTACGTCACATATATTAGCAGCCCAGAACCCCCTGGGCCTACCTTCCCAGGACAAGGTCTTCAAAGAACCAAGGGATGGAGTGAGGAAAAGGGTCAATTTAGGAGTTGAACACTAAAAGATGGCTCTTTTTAACTGTGGTTGGGGGAGGAGTTCGTGAAGGAATGGTAGGGCAGGACAATTGGTTGGAGAAAAAAGCGGGAAATCGGAAGCAAAAGAAAACTGAAAATGGAGTTCTCAACTAACTGAAAGATGACTAACACCTTTAAACTCTTACAGGTAGGAAGAATAAGGGGACGCTTTTGTGAATCAGAATCTAGAGGGCCCTTTTCCTTTTGTAACTCCAGGATCTGGCCTTCAGTAGAAGCATAGTGAAAGGGAAACGTAAAATTCCGTGTTCACCTACCCTGCTTCTTGGAAGGACTGCGCAGATTTTCGTTTGGAGACTTCCATCAGTCTGGCAGAAACTGGAGTGGTGCTGGGGGCAGGTTATCTGCTGAAGTAGGAATGTACAGGAACCCCGCCCTCTAGGCACGGTTACACAACCTCTGCAGCCCGGGTCTCAACCAGCAATGAAACCTCCAGGCTCTTCACCTTCACCCTTTGTTAACCTAATTTTCCAGCAGGCTCTATCTAAAAGCAACCAACTACATTAGCTGTTCACAAAATGAGCGTATTGAAATTGAAGTTATTTTAATGCATGCAAATTTTTCAGTGAGAGAGTAGAAAATACACGTAGTAAAAAAATCGTATTTTTATATAGAATTCTAATATATTTGATTTATCCATCTATTGGGATAAAATATGTGCCAACTTGCATATATATTTTAATAAATACACTTCAAGACAGCTTTTTTTTCTTCCTTCCTGTGATGCCAGTCATACAGATCGGAAGAGTACTTGGACTATAAAGCACACTTGCGTTGAACAGTTTCAGATTTACTTGATTTCCAATTTTGCAACTAGATGAAAAAACTGGCTCACTGCTGCATCTTATATCACTCCTCTGTTTATGTGTTAACAATCGTGCTAACTTTCAATTATGTCAATTAAAGTAAAATACTCAACCTATTTCTATTATTTCTATTATTAAATTGGGATCATTTTCTTTTCCAAAATTTAAAAAAAGAGGGCGGCCTCCCTTTCATTTTAAGCAATTATAAGTTTGAAAGAAAATAATCTTCAAAAATTTTGAAGTGTTGGTCTGGAATGAACTAGCCTTAGCCAGTAAAAGTTGGTGACAGCACAGCACACAGAAAAACATTGGATCCACCAGTCTGAAGCAAAATTAAATGTACCAATGCCATACCAGGTTGTTATTTTTTCAAAGAGGATATCAAGGGGGAGAGTAGGCTAGATCAAGATAATGAAATAAGAAATGTTCACACATTGGGCTTCAGAAAGCCGTGACCAACTCCTCTTTCTATATATTCTTTCTCATGTCTAGGAAGCCGAACAAACAAACTTCCAATCGCATCACTCCATTTATAACTCAGGCATGTGCTATAGCACACTTCTGCTCCAATACCTAGGTCTATGGACACAAAAAGTCACTGCGGATCTGAAAGCACAAAAAGTTGCCACTGAAATTACCTATCTTCTAAATAAACATTTCATAAAATCACAGCTAAGAATGAATTTACTTTGGCCAGAGGGAAAGCACACGTAAAAAATGTTTCTTCTTATCTTTATCTTTTCGCTCTACTGTGTGAATTCAGTTTTCCTTTCAACTTTTGCAATCCTGTCTTTCCCCTGTGGTAGTATATACCCATGCCGTAAACAAACCCCATAGCAGAAGTAAGCAATAAATCATGCTCTTTCCCCCCAGCCTAGATGCAGGCCTTTCTCTGAGCTACTTTGCTTCCCAACTGTGCAATGAATCTCTCCTTTCCCTAAGCCCACCCTGGCCTTCTAGTTCTTTAAAACAGTAATTTGGGGTTCTTTCGTTTGTGGTTCACTATAATCAACCGTTAGGTTTCAGGAACTTCTATCTATTCTCTCATTAACGAATCTTGTCCCCCTAAAGGAGACAATCAAACTAGCCATCTCAGTCTGTTTTAGTGTCTACCTCTCTTTTTCACATTTGATTCCAGCATTTCACAAAATTTCCTGGGATCTCTCCCCTCTCCTCCCCCTTGCTCCCCGCTCCCCCCCAGCCACCCCCATTTCCCAACACCAGTTATTCTGAATCAATTTTAGCCAAGATGCTTCTTCACTAGTCACCCCCCACACACTTCCCTGAGCAAGTCTCTAAGTGTTCGCTGATAACATCTTAAGGACAGATTATTTTTCACTGGGCCCATTGTAAGAAGTAGCCAGCTTATTGCATTACTGCAGAACACATTTCAGACTATACAAATGTAACAAATGAACAACTTGTCTTCCACAGAATCACACAGGATCCAATTAATTACTAAACCCTTAACTCAGGTTCTCTAATTATTTTCTGGAAATATAGCAAGTAGGCTGTCTGAAACAATCTGAAAAAGTTTTCATTTTGTTTCTCATATATGCATATATATACACACATGCACTATATCTCATATATATGCATGTTGCGTCTAAAGAAAAAAAGGATTCAATGTAAGCAAAAGAAACACATCTGTAAATTAAATCACATACATATATTTAAAAGAGAATCAAACAAATACTTCTATGTTGTAAAAATGGAGAGGGAAGATAGGGGTCTTACTCTGAATAACTAGTCGTTTAAGCTTTTGTAATTAAAATTTAAATCTCAACATTTGTCTGTGAGTCGTTACAACAGGTGATCACTGCAGCAAGCTCTCCATTGCAACTCAGAACATCTTTATTAGAATTCGTTCAGTGTGGGTCAACAGCCACAAAAATAAATGCTGACTGAGAAAGGATAAATACAAATATTTAAACAAAAATGTTTGCAGCATTCATAGCGCAAATTGTACCTGAACTGAAGGGATATATATATGCATATATACATATGTATATGTATATATGTATATACACACATATATAATGTGTTCATTATTCACTTTGCACTAACTATATACACATATTTATTTATAATTTGCCAAGTTCTATAAACAAGATACCTGCAACAATATATATAAAGGGCATTCTATCAACTGAATTTAATATAAGCACAGAGTAAACAGCTATACACATAAAATTGAATATCTTTTTTGCTGTATATCTACAAAAACAAAGATATCAGCTGAAAAGCCTATGTTTCACTTAAAGCTAGTATTTATAAAGTAGCCTGCTCCTGGCAAAATCTGTCCACAAATGGAAAAAGGATACTATTCTTAGTTTTCGTCTCAGTTGAAATTAGAGGAGCATTTTAAACTCCAACTTGGCTAAAAAAAAAAGCCTTCAAATTCTCTATAAATCGAATGGTATCTTTGCAAATTAGCTCTACTTAATAAAAGAGACAAAAATATCAAGATATATATGAATTTAGCCTATTTTTTATTTCTGTGTGTTCATAGTAAACATTTTTGTAAGTGACAAACACGGGCATATGACCACAGTATCACAATCAAGAAATTTTAAGACAACATTAACAATCACTCAAATTGATGCGGCATTTGCGCAACACAGGTTACATATTTGCAAGGTTTACCTATAAGTACAATAGGTATTAACATTTCACTACATTTAGAAAAAATAAAAGTGACCTGTTAGTGACCACATACATCGAAATATACACAACACAAACTGAAGGCAATCCTTAATTTGTCCCCTTCCGATTCAATTCAATGGGCAGTGTTGCCAACTAAACAACTTTCCTTTTTCGCTTGTTTGTTTGTTTTAATACTTAGTATACCAAGTGCATTTGCTAGAATCCAATCTTTGGTCTAAAAGTAAACAAAAGGTAAAAACAGTTCTTTAAAGAAAAGGACAAAACAATAAATGGCCAATATAATTTCTTGGGCACCTTTACTACAAATTCTTAAATACAAATTACAGTGTAACATTTTTAAACTCTCTCCATAATTTAGGTTGTTCTCAAGGCCTGCGTCCACCAGATAGCTCCATGATAACTTATAATACTGCACACATGGAAATCTGGCAGCCCTATGAGATAGGCTTGTCAGGTTTGAATGAAATGGCAAAGCAGTCACTATTTAGATACACATTCTACTATAATTTGACGTCCAAACCTTATATTCTACAATGTATTCTCCCACATTGCACCTCGCTGACACTCCACACCTTGTTAGAATAGTAAACAATCCTAAAGACTGAACAAACGTACAGAAATGGGGGGAGGGCTTAATAAAAAATACCTGGACTTATTTTTTTAATTATCATTTACAATGCAAATGTGTGTAAAACGTTCACTTACAGTCTGGTCCCCGGGATGTTAATGTATTAAAGGGTTGGAAGAAGACCCCTGATTTTGATGTGTGAAATAATCAGACAGTCCCCCGGACAGTCCTGTCGTAAAACTTGGCAAAGAGGGTCTTAAGGACTCACAGGGCAGGGTCGAGGGGGCCTGCGGCGACGTAGAGGAGGACGCGGCCCGGGCGCTCATGGACGTGCTGGTCTGCGAAGTCATTGACGGGTGCGGGACGTGGGGGAAAAAGTAACTTGTCTGGCCCGCGAGCAGGTTGACGGAGCAGGGGTTGAGGGAGTAGGTCCCGGAGCAGGGCACCGACAGGCCGCAGGGCACGGAGGCGGCGAGCGCAGCGGCCGTGAGGTGGTGTGTGGCGTACGGGATCTCCCCGTTGACCAGCCGGTCCACGCTCAGCCCGTTGGCGGTCGAGAAGGAGTGGTTGTTGCCCAGCGAGTTCTGAGTCAACACGGAGCTGTAGGGCATGGGGTGGCTGGGGTAGGCCGACGTGGTGCCGTTGTAACTCAAAGTGCTGCTGGCGCGGGGGTGGTGCAGGGACAAGAAGGGCGACATGGGCCAGTAGAGGGAGCCGGCGCGGTCCATGAAGGTGAGGCCGGTGGAGGTGAGGCGCGCCCCGCGCTTGAAGGCCAGCTTGGCCCGAGACGTGGTGGAGCGGCGTCGCAGCTTGCCGGTCGTGCCGCCGATGAACACGTCGTCGCTGGACGGGTCCAGCATCCAGTAGTTGCCCTTGCCCGGGTCGTCGTAGTGGCGGGGTACCTTCACGAAGCACTTGTTGAGGGACAGGTTGTGGCGGATGGAGTTCTGCCAGCCCTGCTTGTTCTCGCGGTAGTAGGGGAAGTTCTTCATGATGAACTCGTAGATGCCGTTGAGCGTCAGGCGCTTCTCCGGGCTCTGCCGGATGGCCATCATGATGAGCGCGTTGTAGCTGAACGGCGGCTTCTCGTACTTGCCGTTCTTCTTGTCGCCCTCCTTGCCCCCCTCCCCGTCCTTGCCGCCCTCGCCCGCCCCCTTCTTCTCCTCCCCCCCGGCACCCGCGCCCTTCTCCTTCTCGTCCGGTCCGACGGGCGCCAGCTCGGCCGGCCCACCGCCCGGTTCGCCTTTGGCTCCCAACGCGTCGGCCTTGGCCCCGTCCAGGGCGGCGGGCGGCGGGAGCAGAAGCGGCTGTGGGCCCTTGTCGTCGTCGGCTGCTGGGGCGCCTCGTGCCTGCGGGGGCTGCGGGGCCGGGGGCGGCTGCTGCTGCTGCTGGGGAGGCGGCGGCGGCTGGGGCGCGGGCGGCGGCGGGTGGTGGTGGTGATGATGATGATGGTGATGCTGGGGGTGGTGGCTGTTGTGGTGGCCGTGGCTCGCGTGGTGGTTGTCGTTCTGGACGGCCTCGGGGACCAGGCTGTTGATGCTGAACGAGGACTTGGGAATCATTTTCACCTCTTTCCTATCTCCCATGTCCAGCATCACCCAGGCGTCGGGGGGCGGCGGCAGCGGCGGCGGCGCGGTAGCCGGGTAGCGGCGCGGCGGGCGGCCGGTGGGTTCGAAGCGGGGCGCGGGGGGAGCAGGCGGCGGCGGCGGCGGCGGCACTGAGCGCTCCGGCAGCAGCGCAGTTGGACCGCAGGCTCCGGCGCTGGCAAGGCATGTAGCAAAAGCTGCAACCACCCCTCAAGAATTAGAGAAAGCGAGAGAGAGTGGAAAGAGAGAGAAACAGAGAGAGAGAGAGAGAGAGAGAGAGAGAGAGAGAGAGAGAGAGGAAAAAAAAGCAAGAAGCAGAAGCAACCCACCGCCCGGGGTGCAGCGCCCCGCTCCGTTCCGCGCCCGGCCTCCCCCTCCCCCGCTGCCTCCTCCTCCTCCTCGCGCCGCAGCAGTCACAGCAGCAGCAGCGGCAGCCCGAAGGGGGGGAGAGCCGGGCGGCGGGCGGGCGCGTCCCGGAGCGGCCGCGGCGAGGCTGGGAGACAGCGATCGAGGCGGCTATAGCCACAATTAATTTTCCGAGCTACAGGCGCACACTAGGGCTGTAAAAAAATTTTTGGTTTAACCTTTCCTACCGCTGCACCAATCAGAACCGGCGGCGTGCGGGAGCGTCTGGCTGGCCGTCGACCAATCGGCGGTCCAGGGCCCGCCCACCCCCGCCCCGCCCTGGACCCGCCCCCTGTGCCTGCCCCCTCCGGGTGGCGGGGCCGGGGCCCGGGAGCCGCGCGGGGATCGGCGGGAGCTCGCCCACCCGGCCAGGATTAGCGCGGGGCGTGCGACCCGGGCCCCGGCCGCTTGCCTGCGGCCTCCTCCCTGTATGGGATTATTTTCCTTTGCGCGTCAATATTTATCCTTATTGATTAAAGTTTGTATCCATTTTTGTCTCTAAGAGCGGGGGCACGGCGGAGGGGCGAGCTGTGAGGGTGCGGGAGAGGGCGTGAACCTTAGAGACGCAGCAGCCCTGGAGCGCCCTGGGAGCCGACGGGCCAGAGGCCCGGGAGAGCCGGGTTTTCGGGGAGCCTAGCCTGGGATCTGGGGCGGGGGGCGGCCGTGGCCAGGCCGGTACTTACTGGTTTCTGAGGCCCTCGGCGAGCTCGGCCGCGAAGTGGGGCTGAGGGCGGCGTGCGGGGGCGGCCTTCCGGGCGGAGAGCTGCCCAGCGCGAACACAGTACCAAACAGTCCCGAAATAAAGCAGGTAACACGTGCGCGTTCCGTATGTCTCTCTCCACGCCAAGATCCGCGCTCACGCGCGGGTGACCGTGTGACGGTTTCTCCTCGGCACTCCACCTCTTCAGCTTCTAGGCAGTATTGGAAGCCGGTAGCCGCGATCGATCACCCTGGAAATATTTTCATTTCGCTTGACATTGAAGAAAATATGAGAGTGGGCGTCTACTTCCTTTTAAAAAAAAAAGAAAAAGAAAAAGAAAAATCCTATGTTTGCTCCTTTACCCCCATTTCACAAATGCTTTCTTTCTTTAAAACCTCAATCTTGAAGCATCAGTATGTCGAAAGCAGCTCTTGCCCTTCCTGGATGCTGCAGGAATGCTCCCGAGCGCCTGGGAAACGTGGATTTGACAGTCCTGGCTTCTGGAGTTTAGGGGTGGTGTGGTGGGGAGGTTGAAATGAGTGGATAGCTTGTGATTCAAGGGCTTTAAAAAGATCCCTTGGCTGAGGCGAGGACTAAGGTCCAGCATTTCCCAGGGACTGGAATTTAGAGCGGAGCAGGCAGACCAGAAGCGTCTCAGCCCTCAGGGCTCACACGCCACGTAGTAAGAAGGATGTAGCCTAAGAGAAGAGGGAGGTGGAGACGCATAGGTCACGAGTACTTTCCCCCTCCTCTTTAAGGTAAAATACTCTAGCCAAGCAAGCATTCTTCACTTTGATGAGCTCTTAGATAAATGATCTGGCAGACTTGATGTTTTTAAAAAATGGAAGGAGAAAAAAAAAACAGGGCCTATGTTTGACGTTAACATCTAGCATAAAAACGTAATAGATGAATAGTCAGAATAATAGGGAGTGATTCCACTGTTCCCATCCCCAACTTTGAAATGGGGCGCAGGAAGAGGGAAATGAAGGAAAGAGAAACTATGGAGAGGAAAAATATACACAATTATAAATAGCGATTTTTAATGTCTCTGTTAGGAGTGCTGTGAGGAATCATTGAATATTTGTCCCCGAATATCCTTCCACTGGTTGGATCTATTTCTCCATGTCTGCTTAGTTTAAAACAAGGTATGCATAAAGAACAATTCCAGAGTTCTAGCAATTAACTTTGCAAGCCACATCGGCCCCAACGGTTGATTTCTAAGCTTAGGGTTGATGTCTAAGCTTGGAGTTTCTCACAGAGCCAGGCAGGGAGGTGGGCTTTGCTAGCCCAGCTAGGGAGATCTGTGAGGCTCAGTGGTCCGGTTCATTTCCCTTTCCACTCTTTCTCCTCCTCAGGCCTATTCTTCAGAGTAGTTCCTCGACTGGCTTGCTTTCCTTCCTCCTCCCCTCTTCCTTCTTCCCTTTTCACTAACCCACCCCTTCTCCCTCCCTCCTTTCCCCTCCACTCCTCCACCTACTCCTCCCCATCCCCCCAGCCCCCCTTCTCACCACCGCTTATAATGGCTCACGGGGCTCCCTCTGAGGTGGACGGCCCGGTACGTTTTCGTAGTCGGTCTAGCGTGAAATGATTCGGTGTAACCGGATTCTTGGGAAAGGACAGGTTACGTAAACATTTACTGATGTGGAGTAACTATACTATTTGTACTCTGATATGCAGGAAGGAAAGTGTTGATTAACACAGAAGAAAAAAAAAGCGAAATTAGCTGATTGCATGCTCATAAGTGCAAGCTGTCATTGAACTGCTTTTAAAATAGACACAGCTGGGTGTTTGTGTTGAAGAATTTCTTGTGTTTTTGCTAATACTGAAATAAGCATGATTTTGTATACCAAACATTTTCAGATCATTAAAATTTGTAATCTGTGCTGGTTTTAAACACAAAGAAAAGAAACAGAATCATGTCGATGTAAAATTTGCTGATATTATATTAACTCAATCAGGTCTGTGCAAATTGTACATTGTGCCTCCTAAAATCTGTTTGATCAATTTAATACACAAAGTGCCAAACGTGGGCATTGTTTGTTAACATTGGACACTTTATTCCAATCTGAGCTCAGCAGTGACTGGAGGAGTGTTCCTTGAATCCAATACCAGCCCTGACTGATGAATTTTTAATGTTTGGAGGTGCTTCTTAGGTTAAAGCTAAGTGTGTATTGTTCTGTTATCCTGCAGAAGAAATTAGCAGGGGAAGTAAGGTTTTCTTCTGTTTACTTTCAAAAAGCAAAAACTGGGGGTTGGAGAGTGAGAGCTGTAATAATCTGATTTTATATGTCAAGGCATATAGTGGCCTGAAAAAAAATGTTTTTGCATGCAAATTAAGGGTGCGCTGTGTTATATTAAGGTTGCATGAATGCAAGTCTCTCAAAACAGGATGGTTCATAGTAAAAAAAATAGAATGTAGTTTGGTATAATATTAAAACTAGTTTCCTGATGCAAAGATTATTTGCAATTTCCGAAAAAGCAAGCTTGAATCCCCTTAAACAATTTGAATTGCTCTTTATGATGAGATGGGAATATATATCAGAATGCACACACATATGCATCTCAGCCTTCTTCAACAAAACATGCAGTGTTTACTCAGCGGCTTATATTTGTATCAGCAATGGTTTCTTTTTAGATGAGCTGCTAGCTGAAACAGAAGGGGAAGGGGCTTCTGGACAAAGTATTGTGAAGTTGAAAGTCTCTGGATAGGGCTTTGTATATCCTACCAACCAATTTGGGTGCAAATTGGATTTGAAGTCCTGCCCATGTCCACCATGGGCCTCTTCCCTCAGCACATAAAGCCCCTGTTTTCAGCCTCTGTGATTACCTTCAGAAGACAGAGGGCAGGCAGCCAGTGGTCTCAGACCGGAAACAAATTCCCCCGCCAGTACTGGTTTCCCTCCTAATCAATTTAACCTCACACTTATAAATCTGCAAACGGGTAGTGTTAGTGAAGTAGTGGGCATAACAGCATAGCGGAGTAAATGTGATTTGTTGGTTTACATGGTGGTGAACCTGTAGGCCTCAGCTCTCGCCCACCACCCACCCACCCCCAAAGGAGGACAAGAATTGTATAGTGAACAATTCCAACGGAAGAGGTTCTTGTGGGATGAAGTAGATTATTCCTTCTAGATTTTATATTAGCCCCCAAGACTCCACAGTGTACTTCATCTGAGCAGGAAGCAGCAGCTCCTTTTCATTTCATGTATGAGGGTGGATGTTACACGTTGTCTTCCTTGGATACAATTCTTTGCTTTTGGGCCTTCCTTACCTTCTAGTAACAAGGGTGGGCCATATTTATCTATCTCCACCTTTCCCTTGGGAACAGGGAAAAACTCTAGCTAAAGTTCTCTTCTTACAAATGCACAGGACCGTTTGTGACCCCTTGACACGTGGGAGTCAGCAGATCCCATGCTGAGCCATCCAGGTATTTTGAAGAGATTCTGTAACAAATGAAGTCTGCCCTCCCTAGAGCCAACTTGCCTGTAATCGCTTCCTAACAGCAGGTAATGGTGCTAACATTCAGTGATTAGAAGTTACTCTTTAGTGTGTTGTATCCTTGTTCTGTGGGTTTTGGTTACAGGTTATACGATTAGGTTTGCGAGAACAGTAGTGAACTAAACTTCTCAGTAAGAGGTCTTCACACCAGGGAAGTGTTACTTTTCCTCAGCAGCCCAGCCTCGTCACTCATTAGGGAGCTGCAGGTTGTCAGAGGCTGCTCTCAGCAGGCTCACGCGCGCACCCTTAATGTCTTCGAGGGCGCGCATATGTGCAGGGAGTTGGTACACACACACACACACACACACACACACACACACACACACAGCTCTAAAACTAAATTAAGAAGCCGATGATTAAGACAAGCGTCTACTAGGCCTGTCATTCCAGCATCCTTCCATCATAACATTGTGGCACTGGCAATTTTGCTTGAGAACCTTGAGAAAAAATATCTATGGGAGAGCCTTATATTTGAGAGTCGAAATGTTTAACTTCTATAAGCTAGGGAACCACTCCAGAAACCAGAAAGTTCAAAGGAGGAAGAGGAAGAAAGTGGTCTTCATGGAAAACCATGGTGGTCTCTGGACACATCTCTTTGATATAGCCATGTGTCCCCCATGTGTAGTGAAGCTAGATTCACTGGCATCCCAAAACTCCTGGTCCCAACAACCCCAGAGAGACTCACAGCATAACGTAATCATCCAAGAGCCAAGACCCCTTGAGTATCTCTGAACAACTTCTCTGCAGAATACCCGAATATTTCCGGTGAATTGGAAGGCCTGCTGACCTTTTATGTGTTTTCTGTTATTTGCCAGCAGCTTGGGACTTTTTAAGAGTGGATCGTTTAAGAAGTCGAGCCCCTGATAAGTAGGCAGGGAGGCTTTGCTCCACTTAAGGAGCAGATCCAATTGGGAGAATTTCTCACACACACCAGCTGGGCAAACCAGCCCTGAAAGGGCCTGTATTTTTCCCTAGCTGCCCAAGGAATCAAAGCAGTCTACTTCCCCCAAGAGGACAGGAAAGGATGGAGAGAGAAGAAAGAGTGGAAGTATGGTCCCAGAACTGGAGTTGGAAGACAAGGCTTGGCTTCCGAGTTCTCCCGACCCCATCCCAGTCTTTCTGAAGCGGAAGCAAATAGACTTACAAAATCCAGCATGTATGACTATGCTGTCTTCCCTGGTTTGTCCATCAATGCATCTTGAAAGGAAAAGAAAGAAAATGGTTTTGTAAACACACACACCGTGAAACAAAAGCTTGCAGTCTGGAAAAGTGCAGAGCTCCTTTGGCCTGGAGACCCTAACTGTCCCATCAGTGATTTTAGGATTTCGGAGCATCATTGTGATTTTCAGTGGGATCCTGAGTTACCTTCCTGAGAACACAAACAACAAATCCCCTATGCTCTGAAGCACCCCTCCAGAAGGGCCCCCAAACTCCAGTTGTGAGAGAAAACTGAAAAAAATAAAAGCAAAAACCAACGTGCAACTATTAGATGGTCAGCTCAGAAGCAGTCACCTCTCGACAGTTAAATGCACACAGAATGCGTAGAACAGCCAAGGGTTATGTGTGAGATGGATGAATATAATACAGGGAGCAACTCATGCTCATTCCAAGTCTGGAGAGGAATAAGGAGAGGGAAAACTGCTTGCTTGAGGGTACTCGGAGATCCCCAGTCCCAAAACCTCCCTTAGTCCA